AAAGTTGCTGAATTCTTTAGGAAAAGGAAAATAAAGGAAATTCACTCCAGCAGCCCAGCTCCAAACCTATGTACTAAGCTTCATGACATGCACTGCTTTAATGCCCAACCCAGCTCTGTACAGGTCTACATCAGGTCAAACTGCATATCTATTCACCGCTGATTGCAAAAGCCAGGTAGCTTTGTAAGAACTCCAGTATGTGATTGATATTTTCGGAGCAAACTTCATCAGTATCTCCAATTCACTGGAGTTCCACTTAAGCTTCAGGAAAGATAAGGCTTTCTATCTTGGAGTTGAAATCAATCAGCATTGTTAGCTAATGTTCTCTGAAGTAGTCTACTTTGGATCGATAAGCTACAGACTATATTCCATTATGGTATCAGTCATATTCCCAGTTTATGGGCTTTATTTTGTTTTGTTTTATTTCCCCAATTCCCTCCTCTTTCTCTTTAAACTCTCAAAATGGAGGAGTAACATGTTTTATCTTCTCACATCTGTGTGTATGTGTTTTTAGTATCATTTAGTGTCACTTTGAAAATGAGCACTGTGTTATCTTCTTTGGCCATATGTTCAGTGTAATGTGTAGTTACACGATCTCTGTGGTCCAAAGAAGCTCAAACATTAGACAAAATGAATACATTTAGATATAGTTCACTTTGGTTCATTATCACTTAATTTGATTTCTTTCACATTAACATCACAAAAGGTAAACCTTGAGTCTGATGTTTTAACACAACAGGTGGAATGAAATAGTGATGAAACAACAACTGTGTTATTATGTGTTATGTGTGTTATGTCTAATATCAGTGTTTTATGATACTAACTGATCAGGAGAGATGAAGACAAGGACGTTCACCATCTGATATGTGAAACCAGTCACTGCACCATTGCAAACCTGTGTTCATCACTGTTGTACGGTGATGAATAATAAGACTTATCATTCATTATCTACTATGAATTATTTAACACCTACTTTGAATTATACAGTACTGACTATGAATAATTCAGTAACTACTATAAAATCTTCAGTATTAACTATGAATTATTGAGATTCATCTGAGTTATTCAGTACCTACAGTTAATTCTTCAATATCTACCATGAATTACTATGAATTAATGATAAATTAAACATAAACATGATGTACAAATTGATATTTGCACAGTGTTTGTATATTGCATATAATACTAGAGAGTCACCAACAGCTGGAACCAAATTCCTTGTGGGTGTCAACATACTAGGCCAATAAATCTGATTCTGATTATTCAATAACTACTCTGAAACTAGTTTGTAACTTATGCTTTAATGACATTGAGGAACTCTAGTATGGACCCGCATACAGACCTTTAGAGTTTATGTTGAGGTTCTGCACATGTTGATTGTACTCTTTCTAAATTATATTTTGAGTGCAGAATAAAACAGAGCCAACTGTACTATCTTGGGCTCTGGGCCACAGATAGCTGTGGTATTTTCAGGACTTTGAAGCCTTCTGAATGTTTTCACTCAGTTAGTAAATCAAAAGATGGCTTTGATTCAAAGAAATCTTTTAATTTTTCTTAATTAAATTATTCTATCCAACAAGTCTTTGAATTTGAAATGTATTATCTTTTTTGGATCAAAAGCCTTTTTAAATATGCAGTTTTTCATCACTCAGTATTAGTGGTTAAACTGGAATTAAAGAGAATGAGCTCAGTTTTGAATTTAAAAGATGAAATGCTTTTACATTTTTTCTTAATATGCATTTCAAAAATCACATTTTAAGAACATTGCCTCAAATAATCTTATTAGTCCCAAGCACATAATCTATTTATTGTCACTGTCTTAAAAAAAAAAAACATGTTAAACATGTTAAAAACCATATTATTGCATGAGTTTGAAAACTGTCATAACGTCATATCAATGTTTACATTTAGTGTACAGTTATTGCTGGTCATTTTATGTGTATGTAATTGTAAATATATAATTATCATTCTTTAATTAATGTAGTGGTTAATAAATGTAATGTATGAGTATGAACTTTGTACCGATATCATTTATTTCTAAGAGGTAACTTCAAGCTTCAATGCTGTTTGTTGTATGAGTAAATTATAAATGGTCATGAGGGTATATTATATTAACTGAGATGACTCACTTAACTGGATACCTTGAGCCAAAAGTAAAATGTGTCCAGGTTAAACTGTCTTTACTTAAGTGTGGTTTTGGCTAGTGGCTGAAATGATCTGGCTAACAGGAAAGCTCAGTTTTTCTCACAGCGCTGTGAGGTGGACAACCCCACATTTTCATTAATGTTTCATTAATGAACAATAAACAGTCTGTAACTCAGTTGTTACTCAATCATGTTGTTTTTGCAGCACATGCAGGCCAAAGGTCCTGTAAACATGGAGAGGATTCAGGTATTACAGACCTCATTGAAAAAGCATTGCACTGGATTTACATTATTCAAATGTGCAGTCATTTACACATGAATGAAATTGAATTGAGTTGCATGTAATATATGTTAAATAATGTAAATAATGTACACATTTGACTCAAGGAAATTCAGTGCATCACCTTTCCAGTGCTTCAAGTATTATGAAATGTACTGTAAATTGGATAATTAAATAAATTTTAGTGGAAACTGACTTAATCCCTTACACTCTAAAGGTCTGTCTATCACATAATTTACACAACAGTTTCAGAATAGATACTGAATAATTTTAGTAGATAATGGATAATTTACAGTACAAACCCAATTCCAAAAAGTTGGGACAGTGTGGGAAATGCTAATAAAAACAGAAAGCAGGGATGAGTAAATTATGTTTAACCTGTATTCAACTGAAAATATTGTGTTTTATCCCATTTTATGCATTCCCTTATGAATTTCATTGTTTTTTGTAAAATACGCTCATTCCACATTTGCTGCTGATATCTCATTTTTCCATAAACAATCTGAAAGGTTGACTCATCAGATCACAATACACGTTTCCACTGAGCATCAGTCCATTTTAGATGAGTTTGAGTCCAAAGAAGTTGGCAGTGTTTCTGAACATTGATATGTAACTTCCGCAGTGAATAGTACAGTCTTAACCTGCATTTGTGGACACAGCAATGGACAGTGTTTATTGAAAATGTCTGGTCAAAGTATTCCTGAGCCCATGCAGAGATGTGAATCACAGAAACGTGATGTTTTTTAATGCAGTGCTGTTGGAAAGGTCAAAGGTAACAGGCATTCGGTTGTGGTTCAGTTGCAGCCTTTTCCTTTACGCATAGGGATTTCTTGGGATTATCTGAATTGGTTGATGCTATTATGAAGTATAGAGGGTGAAATACCTAAAATCCTTAAATTGCTCACTGAGGAGCATTATTTCTTAACTGTTGGATTTTTTTTCGCTGATGAATTTGGGGCCAAGTGGTGAACCAAACAGCGTTTAAGACTTTAAAACTTTTTAACCATATAGTTTGATACTTTATCACCTGCCACCGGCAAGAAAAGTGCTATATAAATAAAGAAATTCTAAATTTCTCACATGGACATTAGAGTTCAGTTTATTATTAAGGGCCAGTGTCTCACAGTATCTAACAGAGAGCATAAACTCTCTCATGTCCCATAATAGTTGATAAGCTGAATCCACTGTCACTGACAGGAACTGATAATACCCCACCCTCGATCCCCCCACAAGGTTATTAAGGACTGAGCTGAGCTGCAACTGAAGAAAAACAGACATATTTACTGTCATAAACAGTGTGTCAGTTTTATAGTGTTACCTGATTAAGTGATGTAGAACTGCACTGAATATGTCCAAGGGCTTTTGTGAGGATGATCCTGCAGAATACATGTTGGCCAACTGATAAAAGCAGGTAAAGTGAAGGACAAAAAAACTGTGATGATGTCATATTTTATTCATGTGGCAATGACGCACACATCATCCCCAATCCTGAATTTCTCACTTGTACACATGACTTTGTTGTCTGTCTGTGTGTAGTTTATAAACAGGAAAATTTCCCAGTTTTCATCTCTGCACTAACACAGCAGTAGTTACATTAGTTACAGCCATGTGCAAACGTTTGTGCACCCTTGATCAAATCCCATGTTGTTGTCTACTTCTTATGTGTAAATAAGTTAAGACATCTTCTACAGAGAACACACTACTGCACATTTTAATAAACAGTTATTGTTTATGTGTTGAACTTAACATATTTGGGGAAAATAAAACATAAAATGGGGCTGGTGCAAAAGTTATATCATCTTGTACATTTTTGTTAGATTTTTTCCAATATGTTAAACTCAAATAAATGGAAATTCTGCACTAAAATTTACAGAAAAACATCATATTTAAGTGTGTTCTCTGTAGAGGATGCTTTGTTACTTATTTTCAAATAGAAAGTCAACAACAGCGTGTTATTTGACCATACGTGAGTGTATGGAAAACCAGAGCATATTAATGTGTAATTCAAGTGTAAAACTCACTGTTATATTGAACAAAAAAAGTCATAACACTGCTGACAAAATTACAGACGTCATTGTTATTGTATTTCAATTTTAAAATCTATTTGACACATTGTCTTCCAGAGATTCACAAAAGGAGTGTTTTTCCCAGTAAAGCTTTTTATGTTTTATGTCAGCGATGACATAAATCTTGGGGCAAGGTTTATGATACAAAATACAATTCTATTTATACATTTAAAATAATTTCAACTAACAACAGACAACACTTTTAATGCATTATTACAATTTAAACTGAAAAACAAACATCAGCACTGTTTCAACATGACAGCATGACTAAAAAATATAAAACAGCACGTAGAACAGAACAAAGAGCATTCTTATTTTGAGCTCGTTGTCATAGATAGATAGATAGATAGATAGATAGATATTATGACGCGGCTAGTTGTTTGTCAGCATTCCACGGCTGTCACCGGGCGCGTGAAGGGTTAAGGAGAGCAGCGCTGTGCGCCTGCGCACTGAGCCAGCACTGCAGAGAGCTCGCTCGCTTGCTCTCTCTCTCTCCCTCTCCCCCTCCCTCTCTCCCTCTCTCTCACGCAAATACGATACGGTCCCGAGCAGCCAGCCCGTGACGATGAGCTCGCGCTAGTGCTGCGCGCTGCCCGTTTCCTTTTGTATTATTGAATGAACGGCTTTCCAGCTCTTATGCAATCGTTGCGCTAATGCGGCGTTTATGAAGCTGGATTTCTTCTCCCAGCCGGACCCGAAGCAGCCTCAGCATGTCCCGGTCCAGCAGGCCTGCAATGACCCCCGCGGAGGACGAGTGCAAGCAGCGCCAGCTTCTTTCCTTCCTCTTCTACCAGGCCGTGAGGGACCACAAGCCCGTGTGGATGCTGGAGGACATGCGCACTATGGAAACGTTCCACTGGGAGGACAGCGCGACGCAGCGCTCCTACACTCCATCCGAGGCTCTGCTGTACGCCATAGTGCATGACCACCAGGCCTACGCGCAGTATCTGCTCAGCCACTTCTCAGATGGCGCCCTGGCCACGCCAGGCGAGCGCTTCTGCTGCTGTCCGTCATCCGCGCCGCACCTGGCCATGGCCGTCCGCTATGACAGACGGGACATCCTGACCCTCATCCTGCAGGTGGCCCACCGGCTGCCCGGCTTGCGCTCCTACATGAACAGGAGTGGGTGCTTCCATGCAGAAGATGGCAAAACGCCGCTGCACCTGGCCTGCGAGCTGCTGAGGTCAGAGGCAGTCCTGCTGCTGCTGGGCAGTGGCGCGTCACCCCAGGCCCGGGACCACAATGGCATGACCCCGCTGGACGTCATCCTGGAGCAGCTGTGGGACTCCAAAGTCAACACAGGGGCCAAAAAGCTGTGCCTGGACAGCCTGCTGATGTTCATGCCCGAGGTGCGCTTCAAGATGAAAAGCTCGCTGGAGAAGGACCCACAGTGCTGGTCCAAAGTTCTGGGCGAGGAGAAATTCAATTATCTGATAGGAAAACTCCCAGCGCCGCTGTTTCTCATAGCTATGCAAAGAATCCTCTCTCAGCTGCCCCCGGAGCAGTTCCCCAACAGCCTGGACAAGCTGCCCATACCGGCTGCTCTGAAACCTCTGCCACAGGCCTTCAAACAACAACACAGCCGCTACACTGTGGCCTAGCTTATTTTAACATGTTTAAAGGGGAATTCCACCAATTTTTTCAAGAATTCTGCATAATTCAGTGTTTGAGATGTAAACAAAGTGATTCAGAGTGGTTTGGTGTGAAATGGTTCAGGTTTCTTTACAGTGGTGGTGATAGGAACCAGGAGTCGCCATGACTACAACACAAATATAGACATTTACTAACCAAAACCACCAGTGAATAAAATAAGTTTTATATGAAAATCTGAAAAAATTCTCAGCTCACAATGTCCTTTATTGTCTCTCCATCATAAATCATAAACTGAATAGATTTTAAAAATAGGTTTTATGTCAAAAGCTTATCTCAGAATCATCGTAAAAAAAAGTCACAGCGTATTTATAACCATTTCATGTAATAAGTTTCTGCGAGGGAGCTTTTAGAGGTGGACGTCTGGTTCCTATCACCACCACTGTAAACAATTCTGACTCAGTAAGTTTCTCTAGAATGAAGCACTTTGCATTAAACAGCTCTGAATGACTTTATTTACGTCTTAACCGCGTAGTTATGCAGAAAATTAGAAAAATATTGGTGGAAGATATTCTGTGCTCGTATTTATTCAAACTGATGTAACTCTGGCATGAATTTTAGAATTTTATCAATGTGCAAATGGTGTACATGTGGCATGAAGTGGTTGACTGATCAGCCGCAGTAACTCAACATGAACTCACCTGAGCAATATCGTCTTCCTGGTCTCTCTTCTGTGGGGGGTGAACAAAATAATGGAAACAACTGATTTTAAAAACAAGGCATCATGTTTTTAAAGGCAATGCATATGTTCATTATTGATTTTGAAAGGGCCCATATCTTACATTTTTCCTGTATCCACTTCCAGGTCCACTTCTAACAATTGTGTGGTTTTGTGTACCAAAACAGTCTATGTGACATTTTCCAGCCTCTCTTTAACCCTTAGAATGAAACAGGCTGGTTTTGTTACTGTGCCTTTAAGACTGATATATGTAAATGAGCTCTGTTCTGACTGGCTAACCTCATTCAAAAAGCTTCCAGGCTGAATTACTCCTTATAACTACAGTGGGAGTGGCCAGGGCTAACCTGCTGCAGGCTGTATAGGTGGACATAGTCTTATGCAAAGGTTTTGGCACCTCTGGTCAAACAACATGTTTTGTGATTTTCTAAGTGTGAATAAGTTAACACACCCTCTACAGAGAACTCACTTCTGCACATTTTAATGCACTGATACTATTTATTTGCTGCATTTAACATATTGAGAGTAATAAATGTGGCCTGTGCAAAAGCTTGTGAACATGCAGGCCCAGATCTAACAGGCCCAGCAATTATGAGAAAATCTAAACAGCTGTCTTGACGTGCAGTGGCCACTTTACTAGCAGCACAGCAGAACATTTTTTGTTATGGCCGTTAACAATCCTGACACTCTCCATGTCTTTCCTATATGTCTGCTTCATTTTCTCCTTCAATCATTGCTCAGCAACCGTTGCACTACTGCCATTACCTCGGTCAAGCTTTTAGGTTTGTAGCAGTGAACTAGTGTTCCTGTGAATGCACTTTGAAGCTCCAGACATTCAAAAGATCAGACCTGATGCTTCCACAAAGTAGAGGGTGCACATTTCTAAAGTCAGATATAAAATGTCACTCACCAGAGTTGAAGAAAAATGTTACTTTGTCCTTGTCGGCAGTGTACTGCATCAACAGAGATAAGATTATAAATGAAAACATTTTACATGCCTGCTACATGCTTTATCTTAGGATGCTTGACAGTTTGAGTTGTTAAGGTACTTGCTTTTTCTCCCCATCATTACATTTCAGCCGTCCGATTTTATGTCGTCTCTATTGGAGTAAAAGTGTTGAATGTGAAGGGAGGTTGTATGCTTAATAGGGAAATGTTCCATTGGTTGTTGGTAATATATGCATAATCTTTTTATAGTTTTGTCTTGATTGAAAAAAAATTATTTATGCGGATGATGTGTCTACACTGTGGTTCGTGTGCTGCCACCGTGGTGCTGCATAGACTTTGTGTAACCTACTCTGATATGATACAAATTAATGGACCACCCAAAAAGGTAGCCAGGTAGGGGCCCACCAGATATTTGTGTCCATAGGCTGATAATTTGATCCAGGCCTGGGCACACAGCATGATTTATGTTTTAAGCTTTTTTCCAATTTGTTATACTCAAAAAATAATAGATACTGTACTCTAAGATATAGCAGAAAACAGCATATTTAAGTTACCTGTAGAGGATGTGTTACATTATTTTCACTTTGAGAGTTCAACAAAATGTAATTTGACCAGGGTTGTTCAAACTTGTATACGACTGTATACACATATGTTGATTTTTGTGACATAAAAAACATTGGGTCTCATTCATCTGTTATCTTTCAAAGTTTGTCTTTAAATGTGTTCTTGAGAAAGGTCCTAAGAAAAAGTCTACGTCAGATTCATGATGTGTTCTTAAACCGCAGAATTGTTTGCGGTTTTGTTGCTTAGACTGTGTGTAGATTCTGTTCTTATCTACAAACAAATCTCAAATAAGAAAACACTGGTGAATGTCAGAATCTTCATAACAACTGCCTAAGTGGTTTTAGGAAGAAATTTCTTCCTAAGAATACTTGGTGAATGAGGCTCAATGAACTTAAACAGGCTGTTTTTGCAGCTTAGTTTCAGTATATGGACTGTAAAGTGAAGTGGAGGGTCAATGAAGTGGACTATAAATGAAGTGGAGGGTCAGTGGTGCATTTTGAAATTTTAACCATGTTTACATTCTACAAGAAACTCTTTTCATTTCTTTAAAGTGAGGACAAATCAGTTTCCCATGATATGGGCTGTTTAATCATTATATGAACTGACTACTGAACTGATATTTTCTTTCAGCCATGATATTGTTGGTTAATATTATTAAGGGAATCTTACAAGAAAAACAATTTACTTTTTTAAATGATATGGTAAATCATGGTTAATATAATCAGGAATATAAAGTATCAAGTTCACTGTAAAAATCCATGGTTTAATATTTAATTTATGAGATGTCAAGGTTTTTTTTTCTTTACATAAGCCAAAGAAAGCCTTCAACTCATTCTTAATTATTCAGCATGCTTGTGGGTGTGTTTTCATTGAAATTACTGCATTCCAATGAGGACTTATACTGCTGTAAAAACAAAAGGCAGCCACACCCATCTTTACATTATTGACAAACTGGAGGATCAGGTTGATTTTGATCCCCCCCATACACACACTCCCCCCTGTAGATCTTCATGCCTTTAAGTGCAGAAATAGCCTCCAACTAAAATTGTGACATTGCTCTTGATTTGAAAACTGGTTTACCTATAAATGATATGCAAACCTGAAGCGAACATGTTTCATTTTATTTTTGCACATCGTACAGCTGTCTGTAATGTCAAAATACTCACCTCATCCGATGTGAGGAAAGAGCAAAGATGCATATAATGTGTATAGTCAGTGCTGAATAGTTAATAAAATGAGATTTAGACCAAGAAAGGCTGTAAACAACAATCAGTGTAAAGTAACTGCTTAATCTGCATAGTTACAAGTAGCTGATTGGATGGAAGCCCATTATCTGATTTATTTTTGCCTTCATTTCTTAATTTATTAGTTGTTTGCATTTTTTTCCTGTTTCTTTTTTTAATTGTTCCTTTTTTGAAAGTGCTGAATGAAAATTAATCACACTTTTGTCACAGACTTTTTCAAATCTGGCACAACTGTTTAGTGAGTGCATTTTGTCCTTTCTAACAGGTTCACAAACCGCATAAAAACTAAATATTGTAATATACAGCACTGTGCAAAAGTTTTAGGCATGCAAGACAATTATATTTTTAATTTCATTGGCAGCAAATGTTTGCTAAGAAAAATACAAATAACATTAATACAATAAGCAGTATCTTTATGTATGTCAGTGTTTGTTTAACTATGTCTGGCCCTCTCCTCAAGGAGGCCCAGTATTATTTGTAGTTATCATTCAACACCTGGTTTATCTAATCAATAGTTCATTAAAATAAATCAGGAGAGCTGCTGACAGAATTGAACAAATCCATGCATTAACTGAGGATGGTGAGGAGAACCAAATCTTTGTTCTAACTCAACTACTGTTTTTTTATTCTACTGTATTTTACTGTATTTGTGCTTATTTGTACACTGTAAAAAGTGGCTTGTCACATCTACTTAAAAAAATACTCCATGTAGTAACAAGCAATTGAACTAGTTTTATTCAACTTAAAATACTACATTGATTGAAAGAATCGTTCATTAAAAGTATTTATTTAGGTTGAATAAAACTAGTTCATTTACTTGTTGAATGAATTGAATTCAGAAGAATCAGCCAACTGTGTTTACACACTGTGGAATTAGACCTCTGCATTTAACCCATCGGTGCAGTGAAACACCCACATACATGCACACCAGAGAACACACACACTAGGGGGCAGTGAGCACACTTGCCCGGAGCAGTGGGCAGCCCTATCCATGGTGCCCGGGCAGCAATTGGGGGTCAGGCGCCTTGCTCAAGGACTGTGAGCCAAGGGGATCGACCCGGCAACATTCCGGTCACAGGGCTGGTTCCCTAACCTCCAGCCCACTAAGTAATTTTGTAAGTAGATCTGATGAGCCACTTTTTACAGTGTATTTATTCTACTGTTAGAATTTTTACTGGCAAAACACTTCCAAGACAAATGGTTTTAAATGGTTTTCTTAGGTGCCAAAGACTTTTGCACAGCACTGTATATTTTGTATAATGAAAATGTCTTTAAGCTATGTGATATATTTTTGCCATATTACCCATCACTATCATCATCTTTACTAAAATAGCACATGCAGGGGGCCTGGATGGTGACTGGATCACTGTTTACATGCTTACTCCTACTAGGCCTTTATGCACCCGAGAAATTAAGCTCTTTGAGGCTGTATGAACAACATATGACATACAGTCATATGCAAAATTTAGCACATCCTCTACAGAGAATAGTTAGATGTTACCTTTCTTTTTGCCATTTTTGGTGCACAATGAAATCTAAAATGCACCATAACTTTTGCAAAAGCCATTTAAATGTTTTCCAATATGTTAAATTCAGTAAATAAACAGTAGCTGTGTGTTAAAATGTGCAGAGGATGAGCAGAGGATGTGTTAACTTATTTTCACTTAGAAAATCAGCAACAACATGGAATTTGACCAGGGACGCCCAAGCTTTTGCATACGGCTGTATGACAAACTAATTATTTTACATTTTGACTGTATGCATTAGCCTAGTGAGGACTTGAAGCTTAAGACTTTGGCAGGAGCAGCACAAGATAGCAAACACTGAGACTCACTGTGCCATCTGTAAGAAAATGTTTCAGTTAACCTGTTTGCCTTGATGACTTTGATGACTGTTCTTTTATAACTCATTGGTATTTATAACTGCTCTGTATTTGACTGGTACTAAAGTAGCAGAGGGTATAGCATAATAACAACTTTGAAACTTTCAGCTTCCATAGGCTTCCATCTGTGTGGATCAACTAATGTAAGTGTGCATAAACACAGTAAAATTACTCAGGTTACATGGAATGAGCTACTGCAGAGTTTAGAGCTGACAATATACGTTTGCATGGGAAGTTAGAACACCACTGGCCAAATGACAAATTTAGTTTTTTTGTGAAGTGAACATCAAGTGAACACACTTAAATATGGCTTTTTCTGCAAATTTTAGCACACAATTTGTACTTATTTGACACAATTGGACCTTACACCAAACACATTAATACGGGCTCACTGTTGCAATGCAGGTGTGTGTGTTAAAAGCAAAGTTAACAAAATTTAAGGACTAAATTTAATCTTCACATTTTAAAAGTCAGTGTGTCTGCAGGCCCATTTGTAAGCATGTTGAGCCTTTCAGTGACCTGTGTGGGTTTTGGCGTGAGTTCCACCTTTAGTCAGCAGATGGAGACATTTGCTGTAAAACATCAGACTTGAATGTTCATGTTCTCTGCTCTACAATAAAGACATAACCCTGACAAAGGCCTTGTAGCATGACCACAGCTGGACAAGTCAGATTATAATTTAATCACGTTTATTTTATTTGCTAATTTAAAATCATATAATATTTAGAACATATTGCTGAAATATAAACAATTATATTACAAAAATAATATAAGTTCTATCACCGGACATATTTAAATTATTTGTATACTCAATTTTGTATATGTGCACAAACAAACAATTGGGTCAAATCCAAAAAATACTGTTTTTACTGATGGTTTTGGCTGGTCAGAGTCCAGAGTTAAACCCTATAGAGAATATTTGGTCTCACATTAAAGACAAACTAACTCAGCCGTGTTTTTGAACTGTCTGACGCCATCAATGCTGAGTGGATCAATACCAACTCTTATTTCTCTAAAAGGTTGTATGCAAGTTGACACATAAGACTTCAACATTTAAAGAATTTAAAGGGAAAAGCTTCCCCACACTACTGTACTGCAGCCATTTGCTTCATTCTTGTTAATTTACTGATTAATGATTCGCTGTTTAGATCATTAAAAGCTTCATGTTTTGCCACTTTGGGTTTGAATGAATGAATGAGTGAATGAATGAATGAATAAATGAATAAATTTGTAATAATATGAAATGTTATAATAATATTTGGGGAGATTAAAATACTGCAAGTTAATCATTTCATATGGAAAGGATTAGCCTTTAAATGGTGCCTGCCCCTTTAAGAACCTCTCAAGCCATTTAAATAGGTAAATGGTTGTAGCTGCCCAGCGAGCTGACCGCTAACCTGTGGAAAGAGAAGCTTTAAAATCACAAAATACTGAATGAGCTGAATTAAATTTTTAATATAAATAACTACTTTCTGTGTGATGGTTTAAAGAAGCAAACAGCAACTGGAGAAGACCTTTTAGCAAGCTAAAAGGAAGAAGGCTTGGTGAATTTAAATTCATTCTATGGCTAGCCTCCCTAGGTTTAGCTGGTTAGCGTTAGCTGACTTATGTTAAGTTACTCATTTCATTTTTTTTTCCACCTTAAACGAGTCGGACCCTTGTAAGTAAAAAAAAAAAGTCACGTTTCTTTATCTTTAGACATTACTGAGATTGTTTTAATATTGATATTCATCTACAGTTGAGTTGCCTCTTTTACAATCTGGCAGCAAAAAACAGACAGAAAAGTTGAAGGCAGACTGCATAGTGTTGTGTCAGCGAGTTTGAGGTAGATAGATGTCCTAAAAGCAAATGGACAAAATGTGTGTTACAAAAATGTTACATTACGATCACTAGATTGTCTCACTAAGGAAATATTGGATATTATCTGTTTAGGTAAATTTGCTTAAGTGATGCAGACCAAGTTAAAAAAAAAATTAGCCAAAGCAAGTAACTACAGCTGCATTAACTTAGTGTTAACCAGTTACCAAACCAGTTTAGCATTGGTGTTAGCTAATATTAATGGGATAAGCCTATTTATTATACCGTGGACTAGTTAGAGAAGGTCATTGAATAATGCTAACTTATTAGCATATAATAGTTTTGGATAGGTGAGCTAACCAGGCCTAGCTCACTGACATTAACTTCCCTTGGGATCAAAGAAGCATAGACCAGCACTCTGCAATCACCCAGACCAACCATCTATGTACCCCTTAAAGAATAAGCTTCAGTGCACAATCACTGATGACTTTATTAAAAACACTGTCAAGAATTGTCAGCATAAAACCTACAAATCTCCAAAGTGGTGCCTTTACAGGAGAAGGAAAAACATTCTTAACTTGTAATTGAAGTTAATGTAAAAAGATTCTTCTAATCTTTTGCACAATTTCTATTGATCCATTTTTAATGAAATTTTAACATAATGCAAAGGATAACTGGCATCTCTAATAATGCAAAAAAATTAAAACAACATGGAGCTATGTTGTTTTGCAGGACTGTGATGATATTTAGATTTATAGTAGAGTGACATCATGTGACAAACAAACACAAACTCTTCTATGCCCTACACCTCCAG